GAGAACTCTTAATTAAACATCAGAAAATATTGCTCTTTCATAAGAAGTGTGAGATCTACCAGTTAAGTATACGACTGCACGGAGCTCATGCTATGAAACTGAAACTCCCTCAGGACAGGTACTCTACATCATAAAAGACTGCTCCTAACCTAAGGATGGATAAGAATGCATGTAGAGAATATTAGTAGAGATGTAATAATAGAAAAAATAATTACTTTCCTAGAATGTTTCCTAAGTTCACGCTGATGTAACATGGGAACAAGAACCAAAATAAATAAGCAAATAAACAAGGAAGCAGTACGAAGAATGATCTGTCCATTTTCATACTTAAAATTCACCACAAATCAGGACCAGACAGGTTTAGGCAATAAGAATATGGGAAAACTAGACCAGAGTTCCTGGTTTGCCTAGACATGGTAGCATGAATTATAAAGATCCTTTTAACATGTTTGTAGCGATCATTTAACAGGGGATGAAATATGCAATACAGCAGTGTTCCCCTGGCCATGACCCAATATTCAGGCAGGTACAACAAGAATGCTAATCCATCACAACATGTGATGTTTAACCAGATCTAAGCCTAACAGAACAGGACATTAGGCAGTGTTTCTTAACAACTTGATATTTTACAGAATTTCTGCAGTATTGATGTTCTTTCGTTAAATGTGCAAAGTACCACTAGTTGCATCATTTCCGCACAGTATTTTAATTCAATTACTTTACTTCTTTGAAAATACTTTTAGTGAAATTCTTTTAAAAATAATTTGCTTTACATAATTTCTTTTTTTATGGCTCCCATTTCCTGACCTATTCTGATACCCGGCTCACGGCTGAGGGTAGAGAAGTACAATTATTTATAAAATCCTTACATATCTCTAGGCAGCAGTTTAACAGATTCTCAAGGCATCCAGTAGGTACAGCATCAATACAGAATTACCCAGGTAATGTCCCCAGTAAAAACGTTTACCTTTGGCTATTACAGTTAAGTTTAGCAGAAGATAATCAATCAGTTATTTGCAAAACGTTTAACATGAAGTCATACCCGCCTCTTCTGTGCTTTTGATATTCGATGATGCTGAGTCTGCTGCTCTACTCCTTCAAGCTCTATATTTGCAACCCCATCAGCTATGGAATCTGTCTAAAAGGAAAAAAAAAGTTAAATGTTCTCATTAGTATAAACAAAGATATGCATCTTCTGAAACAATTTTAAGTTTTCTTCCAGGGTATTTTCAAGAAGTTTAACCACAAAGATCCATGTATAGCATAGAGGCCATCAAAGTATTTCACATCCCAAACTACTGTCTTGCACTTTGTCACTTTTCTGCAGTCCCAACAGAATTGAGAGTTATGTGCATCTCAAATTTAAGCTGTATGTTCTCTAACACACTGGTGAACACTCCTTACAGGCTGAAAGGAAAAGCTTTCCTCACCACACCAGCCTAAGAGGTATCCAAACAGCCATTAGCAAGCTCTGTGAAAAGTAAAGCAGAAGGGTCCATCCTCTCTATCAAAGCATAACCAGGAGTTGAAAAAGAGAGTTGAAACTTCTCAAGAAAATTACAAACCTAACTCAGTAAATGTATGAGCTATACAAAAAGATCAGTCACACTGCTGACAAAATTGCAAGACAAAACATACTGGATGAGTCAAACACCTGCTGAAGGTTCCAATACTTTAGTAGTCCACAAAAGATAACCAGAGAGGCAATACAACAGTCATTAAAAACATAATTCTCTAACATAACTGACTTACCCATGTAGCCTTAAAAGCAACACAAAATACTGCTTGTGGTGGTGCACCTTTCCCCTTACTCTACGTTTAATTTCTATTACAGCTTGGCATTTGTATAATGATTTTCCTTGTATGCCTCATCCATGGGTTCAGTACCAGAGTAAATCTTGCCATCAAACTTTGTCATGCTTTTGCAAATTTATATTAAACCTGTTTTGAAATATCTTTTACAGGGACTCTTTAAGCAACCAAGCCACTCTCTCAAAAGAGCTCAACAACAAAAATCCCTCACTGTTACAAGCCCCTTCTAGCACTGCCCATTTACTGTAACAGCTAAAGCTTTCCTAAGTTGCAAAGAGTTACTAATAGTGCGAAGAATAGGATAACTGCTTTGAAGTATTATTTCACTAGAATTTTTAAAAGTTAAAAAAGCCCTAACACAAATTGTACCTGTACAACTTCAGGTGAAGTTAGGGCACCTACCTTATTCTGTTCAGGTGAAGCTTCCTTCAGCTGCTTCAATTCCTCTTTGTGCTTCTTTTCAAGTTCTGCCTCTAGTTTGGCTACTTCATCTGCCAGCTGTTTTCGTCTCTTCTTATCATTCTTGGGAACAGCATTTTTCATGCCTTGAATTTTTGCTGTTAGAGAAGCAGTGTAATAAAACACTATTTCTTAATATATACTCTATGATCATTGCAGAAAATTACTGCAATTCATACAGAAAAAGTAATTTACAAACACCAACAAATTAGTATAATAGTTTAGCTGTGAGACTGCTGGTTCTAATCTTCACATTTTCCAAATGCCTATATTTTTTCTTAAAAGATGTAAACTGCCTTTTCTTTTCTTTCTTTTTCCGAAGAAGAGAAAAACTTATGCCAGGTTACTAATAAAAACACATATGAACTTCATCAATGCAGCAGACTTTGGGCTGTTGCCTTGAGAAAGATTATGTGGGCATCAAAATATCAAATCACACTGGAAAATGCATAATTTTTTAATTACTCAGCAGACTAAAATTAAAAACTGAGTTTATCCATCCTTAAGACAAAGTTTCTAAAAGCAAAATGGGTATCGAAAAAAAATCTTAACTTGATTAAAGCCCCTAAGTATTTCTAGGCTGTAAGTCAATGCTTCATTTCTAAAATCACAGAATACTTTGGTTAGAAATGGTGTTGAATGGATACCTAGTTCTACCTCTTTCTCAAAGTGGGGCTGAATTCAAAGCTGCATCAGGTTATGCCAATTCAGATGCATCTGAAGTTAATTCAGGTAACTGTGCAGGGATGAGCATTCTGCAACCCTTCTGGGAAACTTTTTTCCCAAAATTTAATGATTCTTGCTATGAAAATATTTTCCCTTATTTTTCCCATGAAGATTTTTCTTGTTGCTCTTCAGCCCGTGTCTCTAGTCCATCCTCTATACTTTGATGAGTCTGGCTCCATCCATTACATAGTAGAAACTAGAACCACATTCCCCCATAGTTTTCTCTTCTTATGTGTTCCTAAATGAACACTCCCCCTACCTCTGTCACTTCTGTATTCACTGTTTTAGAGTTATATCAGCAATTATTTAACACCCTGCTTGCTATTCATCACCTGTACATTTTCTTGTCCTTCATCCCTGACTGACCCAATTGAGCTGAATATGATGGCAATGACAATGAAACTTTTCAAAGGGAGACAGGAAGAGGCTTATACTGAAAGATTTATGTTAAGCATTCAGCCCCACAGATGAATAAGCTGAGTATGACAGAAAAGCAGCTTTGTTCATTAAAATTAACATAATAGAGGAGAAAGGAATCCAGAACATAAAAGGCACACACAAATACACAGGAGAGAGTATGGGTGGTGAAAAGGGAGGAGGGGATTGTGGAGACAAGTACCATCAACCAGATAAGGTGTTGGATTTTCAGAGGCTGAGATACACCTTGTGTTAGTTCTCACAAACAGCTTTGGTCTCTGGTAAACACTTATCAAAGCAGATACCAGGAATGTATTTTACTAGCAGGCAAACGTACCTACCTGTAAGTCATCTGCCTCTCCCAACTGGGAAGAAAAGGACTCTTCTTTGCAGATACCCCTCCCACCATTTGGTAGCGGAGAACTGCCTTTATCACCTTCTCTAGGGGTAAAATCCCTCTGCTCCTCAGCCACTCCCAGTGAAGGTGACAAGCCCCCAGCCACCTCTGACAATGCCTGTTTCCTACACCTCTTCAATTTCAATCAAACCTGAGGGAGGAACAGGCCTCTCAAAACAGTAAGTTCCTACAGATTTAGTGACAGCATGCAACCTGAGTCCTTTCCTCTTTAACCCTCTGATAAGAGGTTGCAGATGGGCCTATTTCATTACATACCAAAAAAACAAACAAGGAAAAGGCCGTATCAACATACTAGCAACGAGAAAGGCTTAACAAAAATGATATAACAACTATGAAACTCAACAGAATCCATCTATCAGACCTCCTTAATTATACGAATATATTGTAATAGGGTAGGTCAAATGACGCAAAGTGTTACAAGTTTATACTGAAGCACCGTAAGACCATTCATGATGGATGGACAGGACATGAAAATTCAGTTCAGGTCAAGTGCACTTGGAATGAAGAAACGTATCAGGCTGAGCAGGAAGAGCCTCTGTGCAGGCTGTTCAATCTAAAATGCCTTAAACGACCACACCTTTTTCAACTTGAAATCAAAGTACCAAACCGCGAACATCACCGCCAATGGCCCAGCATCAAGTCACGGCTCCCGAGGCCAGGGCAAGGCGAGCTCCGCAGGCCGCCCGCCCGCCCAGCGCTGCTCCCGGCAGTGCAGCCCGGCTGCCGCACCGCTGCCGCACCGCCGCCGCACGCACCATTTCCTCCCGCCGTGCTCGTCCCCCTGCGAAAGCACTGCCAGGGCTGCTCCCTCCTTCTCCACAGCCGCCGCCGTCCCTCCGCCCCTCCGAGCTACCCGCGCTGCCGAGCGGGGCTTCCTGCGAAGGAAGGCGGAGCGGGGACGCCGAGCCCAACCGGCCCCGCGTGTTCCCGCCGCCGCTCCCCAGCCTGCTCCCCGCCCGCCCTGCGCCAGGCATAGCGCTCCTCACCCTGGAGCTCCCGCTTCTCCTTGCGCTGCCGCTTCAGCAGCTGCTGCAGCGGCCCCTCGGGCCCCGGCTCCTCGTCCTCCGAGCCCTCCATCCTCCATGGGCGCCCGCAGCCGGCGGGCGCGGCTGACCCCCGACCCCGGCGGGAGGCGGGAGCTCGCCGCGCTTCCGCCAGCGCCGCCCCGCCCGGCACCGCCTCCGCCGCGGCGTGAGGGGCTGGAACGGCCCGCCCTCCGCGCCGGGGCTCGGGGTGCTGGGGCTGCTAGGTTCGGCGTCCTAGGTTCGGCTCCTGGAAGGGAAAGGTGGCCCTTGGTTTGCTCAGGGGCTGTGAGCGTTTCTGTCCGCTGATCTCTGCGGCATACTCGCTGCTGCCGCGATGTCCCCGTAAAGGACTCCCTTGCGCTAGGAAAAAGCCGTAGGTTTAGTTCAACCTAGAGGTAGGTCCTGTTTTACAGGGAGGAGCGAAGGAAATCAATTAGGGGTTGTACGTAGTTTATCACATTAAGGGAAAAAAATTATTTAACCTGTTCGTTTCTGTGCAAAGTACACGGTGTGCTGCGTGTGCTAGTTTTTCTCATGAAGCTCAAAAACACTAGAAAGGCTCACGATTTTCAAGTTGCGGTGCTTGTGTGTCCTCATCATTGTGAATTACTCCTCAGAAAGTGAAACATTTTTGTTACAGTAAAAAGCCAGACTTTGTGTTTGGGGTCAAATCAGCGCCTCAAATTGAGAACTACAAATTGTTGTGTAGTGAGATGCTTTTGTGTCCGGTGCAGGCACCAACACTGGAACATTCGGTTGATATTGACAAAATATAGCCTATAAAAGTTAATATTTTAATGGTGCTTAAAATTACTCAAACTGATCCAAAACTGGTAATGGAACTGCATCTGTCCTTGACTCTTAATGTCACTGCTGTTACATTACTCCTTTTACATTTTTACGAACAGAAAGTCTACAAGAATACCTCCCTAGAGATATTTTAAAAACAGTAAATATGTTTCTTAGAGATATGATTTGGTGCTGGACTTGGCAGGGCTGTGTTAAGAGTTGGACATCGTACACATCTTTCCCAAACAAGACAGTCCTGAGATTCTATGAAGTACAGTGTCAAGTGTAAAGAAAGGACACAAGTCTAAAGCAGAATCATAACATGATATATCAATCTCTCTTGCTATATAGAACTGCTTATTTTTTAGATCCCTTTTAGAATTAGGTTGAAATGTAAAGGATTTTCAGATTCATATGTCCCTATCTGAAAGTATAATATTCTTTTATTTCCACCTGCTATTCACATCTTGATAGAATAAAAGGTGTCACAGATCTGCTAGGAAAAGGGAAAGGGGGGAAGCTTTTAGCTAGGAAAACAGTGTAGCACTGGAAAGTACTAGGGCAGCCTTGTAAATATTCTGCTAATCCAAAATAGGGACAAATCCTTGTTGGATTTAGTTTAACTAACATAAATGTGCTCTGAATCAGTTTGTATATGGCCTATATGTGTCTACATATGTATCTATATATACATTTAGTACATATTTTTGAATATACTGTCTATTTAAAAATAGGATACTGATTTATACTGTTTGAAAACCCCCCCTTGCAGATAATCTCGGTGTGCCTTGGCTGGGGAAAGTGGCTGGGGATCCAGACAACGAGCTGTGAATGGGCAAGGGCGCTTTGGGGAGCGGCAGCACCAGCCAGGGGGTGGCCTGTCACCGCAAGGCTCCGAGGGACCGGTTGAACACTGAGGAGAGCCCAGACCAAAACTGGACTTCACACCGCTGGACCAAGAGCTGTGAGAAATGCGGGTGCACAGACTGAGAGGGAATAAAACTCCAGTGATCTCTTTTGGGAGGGTCCTTCCCCAGAGGCCCCCAGGTGCTCCTCGATTAAATCACTCTCAGGTTAACAGCGCGTCTGGCATTGCTGTTATTCCAAGAGCAGGCAGTGACCCTGTGCCAGGAGCATTGGCCGGCTGTAACCTGTAGTAGTAGTTCGGCAGAACAATGGCCATCGTAAGGCACTTCGTGATCTACACAAATTAACTTTCCTGCGGCAGTGTCTGGAAAATGGATTCCCAGATCACATGGATTATTGTTGTGTTTGGAGCAGCAGTGCACGGATGAGGAGCCAGCAGAGGGAAGCCGAACCGGCGGTGACACTGGCGGAGCCTCAAAGCAGGAACCCTGGCGCTCTGCCTGCATCGGCACCGCCCTGCTGATCGCGGGGCTCAGCTCCAAAGCAGGAATGCCGCCGCTCTTTCTGCCTCGGCACCGTCCTGTCCCTTAAATACTCCTTCAACACCATCTCACTTTTCTCCTGTGGGGCTACTCCGCGTTTATCAAACACCCGTGGAGTCTAAGCGATTTGGTTTTATAGGGAAGTGAGATGCCAAGGCTGAGGGAGGGTAGCAAGAAATGTGGTCAGCTGTAATATATGTACTGGACATGACCCAAGCTGGGAGGGCATGCAGGTGCTTTTGAAAGAACTGTTCTGGCCAGGTGAAAGGGAAAACGTAATAATAGCAAAGCAGAACTGGCACTGCAAAAAGAAGGAAACAGGAGCCCCTGGCCAGTGAATGACCCAAACTGGAATGATAATACCGCAGAGGATAGGCCTGCATATCAGACAAGAACCTGGTTGAAGCAATATGATCATGGAGAATGAAAGGTTAACTGGACCAAAATAATGGTATGCAGACAGAGAATGGACGACAATCCTAGAGATTTTTGGGGCTGCTTCCAACAGGTTTTGCTAGAATATGGGGCAATGGCTTCACGAAACTTTAATGGTACACATGCAATTAGTGTCTTTGTAGGTCAGGCAGCACCAGACAGCCAAAAGTAATTTAAGGAGCATATGCCAGGGTGGCAGGGAGTAACACTACAGAAAATTCACATGTTGCAGTATTCATGTGTGATGGGAGAAAGAAAAAACAGAGGGCAAAGCAAGTAGAGGAGAAAAGGGAAATTGGAGAAAGTGGAAAATCTAATGGCTGTTGCCATGACAGGAAATCTCCAGGGGAGAAAATGGAAGAGAGGAAGACCAAATACAATTAGTAGACCTAAACCAGAAAGCAGAAAGACAGAAAAGGAATGTGGAAATGAAGCATTACTATTGTAGCAATTTAGAACATAGGCAAAGAGAATGGCCTTTCCAACCAAGTGGGGGAGTAATTATGCAAGGATAGATTGTCACAATGACTAGAGGCCAGCAATTCTACTGAATTTGAGGGAGCCATACAATTAGAAATATAAAATTTGTGGAGAACACCCAGAACAACAGGGACATATAGTAATAGTATGTGGGGATTGGGTGTCATTGTTAAATTTCTTATAGATACAGGAGCCACATTATCCCTCTTAAACTTTGCCCCAAGAGGGTCAGACAAAGTTTAACAGACAAAGTATGCATACATGGAGCCACTGGGCAGGGAAAAATTTAAGTAAACCTGTGTTAGCAATGATAGGACGTAAGGTTGTATTAGTAGAAGATTCCTCTGTGTGCTTGCTGACCTTCTACAGGCCTTAGATGCAGAATTGCATGTGTCACCAGAGGGAATGGATTCAATAGTGGCACTGGGTGTGATTACTGAGAGTTTCAAAAATGAGCAGAAGATACTAGAAATATTGAAAGCTGTATTATCAGGATTCTGGAGTAAGATCCCTACAGGTGGGGAACCAGCCATGTGCATTAAAACTAAGGCAGACATGCCACCCTCTGTGAGACAGTATCCTATTCCTCTGGAAGCTGGGAAAAGTATCCAAAACCAGACAGACCAATACTTGGACAAAGGAATTTTAAAGCATGTGTGTCTGCATATAACATTCCTATATTGCCTGTAAACCAGAATAGGTTAGATGGAGACCCTGAGTACTTGTGCAGGATTTGTGGTGATTAACCAACATGCAGTGACCCCTCACCCAGTGATGCCAGGCCCCTTGACTATGCTTTTGCAAAAATACCAGTTTAAAATGGCTATTTTATTGTAAATAATTTAACAGCTGTTTTTTTCAGCATCCCAATAGACGAAGGAAGTCAACCTTTGTTTGCCTTCAAACTGTACTGTTAACACAGTATATTTTGTAGATGCAAAAGAGCATGTAAGAGCAGAAAAGAAAATTGTGCTGCTCAATTGTATCAGCACATGCCATCTGAAGTACAGGTACATAATATATAGCCTGGAGATGAAGTTTTAATTAAGGTATTCTTTAGAAAATCCAAGTTAGCACCAAAATGAGAAGGCCATATAGTTTCCTACTATGTCCTTATTTTGCTGTTTCAAGTTTTGCTGTTTAAGTTTTAGGTAAGGAAAACTGGATACACGATTCTCACATCAAATGAAGAGTAAGTGATCAATCAGTTGATAAGTAAAAGATTTCTCAGAATCCTTGGTGATTTTGTATTTGTAATCATTTGAGTATTTATGCACAAGAATTTATGAATTTGTATTCTGCCCTATGGTAATCTTGGTAGCTTTAATTTTGTTGTGTTTGTTACTCTCAATAATCCTGTATGCAAAGGCAGTGCTTAAATGCCTCGAGAGTTTTTTCTTTTTCCTTTCAGTACATGAGCAGGAGGACTGTTGAGCAATACACGCAGTTCAGATTGCTTGGTGTGTGATGTGCTCAGTGTGCCCTGCATGGCTGGAGCCACAAGCAAGGAGCCATGAAGGAGCACTGACCTTCTGCCTGCAAAGGCCACAGGGACCTGCCACACCAGCCAGGCAGGGATGGTCAGTCACACAGACACTCTGCAGGACCCACTGAACAACAGGAAGACCCCAGACCCAAACCACCTTTGGATCAAGAGGTGCTTGAAGCACAAGTGCACAGACTGTGAGGGTATAAAAACCCAGTCATCTTTTCATTGGGGTTTCTTCCCCAGAGGCAACTTCCCCTAAGTTGCTGCATCACAATTAAATTACTTAAAAGGTACAGGACTTCTGGGCCTCTGCTATGGGAAACCTGGGGTCAAGCTGATGTGGAGAGCTTAGGTCTGAGTGTGGAGTCAAACATGTTACATCACTGGATTTACTTGCTGCAAAGGGGCTCCTGTCCCAGCATTAAAATTTGGAGTAGTGCAAGTGGGACTCCCAGATTGCCATCAGAATGGTCAGATGGGAGAGTTTCTTTAACATATATCCTTCTACATTTCCAGGTTTTTTTTCAGAATGTTAGAAATTACAGCAAAGTTTAAAAAAAAAATCCTAATTTTACCATACAAGACACTATAATTAGATGTTCAGACATATGACACACTCTGCCTGCCTTCCAAGCAGGCTGAGCTCTACTGTGTTTTAGGAGACTACAGCCTTTAGTCTTTCAGAAAAAAAAGGTAGCTGAGGTTCCTTCCCTCTAGCAGAACTATCCCCAGTCTAATGGTAGTCACTACAGGGATCCAGTGAAGTCTCTGCAGTGACCACTGGTTTTAGCCCAGGCTTCTGTTATGTCTTTAGGAGTAACACAAAAGAGTATAGAATAAATACCAACAACCAAATAAATATCTCAAGTCACCAAATGGACAGTGCTGAGTTGATTAAAGCTAGTCTCATTTGAACAACACTTAATATAACTGAATTCAAATTGACACAGGAGTGGAGATTTTAGTGCACACTAAGTATGAGGGATGTTGAGATGTTTGAGAACAGCAGTACCACGAATGCTGGGCAGGTCACGCTGCACAGCCAGCTAATGATGAGTTTCCTCTGCTGCCATGAAACCTGAAATAAATGAAAGCTATTAAGAAGAGCACTTCCATCGCTAGCAGCAGGCCACAGGCTCAATGCCCCAGTTCTGGCCTGCAGTGCTTGTTATCAGCCTGTGGTGAGAGCCTGTCCTGGGAACTGGAGCTTTGTGCCAAGACGGCTGTTATGATCTGCAGTTTCATGTGGGATAACAGCAAAGGCCTTGGAAATACTGAAAACAGAGGAGCCAGCATTATAAACTAACTGATACCAAATTACTGCTTGAAGAAAAACCACATCACAAGTCAGTAATGCTTTGAGCCCATCAAAGGAAGCAGCAGCTGAGCTAGAGAGGATCAGCCAAGCAGCAGCAGGAGGCATTTGCTGAGGCCTGAGAAAATGACACTCTCCGGTATCGCCAAGTGTGAGTATGGCCTGTGGGGTGGAGACCAAAGGCAGCTGGCTGATCAGAAATCATCTTATAAAAGGAAAATACATCTGAATTTGGGGAAAATGCCATCACAGGGACCTGCAGTCAAGATGTCTCTGTGAGACTGTCAGGGCAGCCTGTGTGCTGCCTTCTCTCTATGCCTGTCCCTGCCCCTGCTCCAGGGGCCTTCCCTGTTCCTGCCTGCTCCTTGCCTGCTTGCACCAGGGTTCCTCGTTCCTCAGGGTCTCTTGATCTGCCACCTCATCAGCATTTTCCCCTCCACATTTTCTGGCTTTCCTCTCTGATAGTCTTACAGCACCTAGCTTGAGCCTTCCTGCATATAAGCTCAGTTTATCTAGCTCCTGAGTAGAAAGGGTGGCTTAACAGATAAAGTCATAATGAAACATAATGGTTAGAAGCTGAAAGGAGGAAAAAAAAAAAAAGACAACTGAAATCTGAGGTAGCCAACTGTGAAGCACTTTATCTAGGATCCGATAGGTTTGCTGTCACAGAGGTCTTTAAATCAAGACTGCAATACTTCCTATGGATATGTGTTAGCTCAGATCTGAGTCACAGTCTTCATGCAAGTAGCATTTACTGACTTTCTGAATTCAAAGCAGTCTGAGTGGATTGCCATAATGGCCCTTTTTGGTATTAAAATTTATGACTTCATTAATCCATTCTGTAGGAATTTGAACCTCCCATTGAAATCAATGATAGCTTAAGAGGCTCTGTGCCAAGCACTGTCTGTCTTACACACTGACAAAATTGAAACTTTCAGAATTAAGGGGTGCTTTTGCAATGCAACTGAATATTGTCAAGTTAGTCACTGAAGTCAATAACTCCACACCTGTGATATCAGCTGATTTGCACAGTGAATTAACCAGCTGCTGTGTTCACTCTCTTTCATATTTGTTTTCTGGGGAGGAAAGCATGCATGGCTATTTAAAGTACTGCACTTTGACATCCTTTCTAGTATCGTTCTCCCAGTGCTGTCACAGTATTTAGTAACATCTGAACTTCAGGAAGGTTGGTTGTTCATTCATAAGTGAGCTGGGGTGGGACCCCCACTACTTCTGTTACTCTCCAAAAATCTTGATTTTATTTCTTCAATTGCAAAGCCAATAAGCTGTTGGCAGACAGTTTTCATGACAGTAGTAAAGACTACCCAAATCTTACTCAGCTTAATGATATAAGCTAACATATATATAAAACATTGGTCAAGCAAAGAAGCTATCTTACTGCTTTTGCATCAGTGTGTATCTCATTCCCCCCTATTATCTACAATATGTTTCTTGCAGAGCATTAAAGTGAATTATAGGCTGGTTACAGCTATACATCAAACTGTTAAAATGGCTCTGTTGTTTTGCTAAGGTTTTGTTGAGAGTTTTCTGATTTATGTGCTAAATAATCAGTGAATCTGGGTCACCTGAGCCCAGATACTGAAGGAAAAATAGTTAAATTCTCCTTTTCTTTATGCCCTAAAATTGGCTGGCAGTAAGGTTTTGCAATTAGTCTAAATGAAGAAGAACTATACATGACCTTGCAATGAAGCCTCCACAGAACATAAAGCTCAATATGGCAAGTGCTGTTAGACTCCTAAAATCTCCCAGCATGGTATATGTACTTTCTGAAAGTTCACTTAGATCAGTAAATGAACTAGGTGAGATTTTCCTATTGTTTGTTTATTTTTGCTGGAAACAGTGCTATCAGGTTTTCACAGCAAGACATCTGCAGCTGAGATCCCTCATCTGTTAAACTTTTCTAGTAATTTTTCAACACAAATCTGACAAGAGTCAGGACCTAATGTATAGAAAATCACTTAACAAAATCTGTTATGAGTCATTTATCAGTTAAATAAAATAGTGGGGCTTATTTCTGGATTTGATATTTTTGAGCTTACAAAGACCAATGTATTTATCTTTTCTATTTGTAAAATCAGAAGTTGTAAGAAAACTTAGGTTTCTGTTAATGCAAATAGATTCAGTGTCACTCACTCAGAGTTGTCTTACTAGTGCTGGGGTACAGAAAAACTTGTTTTTCTCCAGGCTGTTACCTGGAGATGTCCTTGGTTTTTGTGAAGATTGCTTTTGAGAAATGTGTCTGTTAGTGCTAGCACCTTTTTGCCAGCCTCAGCAGATGTACTGTGAAATTTGCAGTGTTTTGCTTTTTTAAATTTTAGCAAGGTAGAATGGTGACATTTCATAAAAACCCATGAGTCTGGATTTTTAAGCAGTTTTCTTGGCTATATGACTGAAATGTGATCTTTGCTTGACAAGAGGTGACTTGAATGCATTCTAGATGCTCAGAAACAATAAGCAAGGAGAAAAAGCTCAGCTGCAGCTCTTCACACTGCTTTTCATGAGGAAAAAATATTTAAAATTGGACATTTGGGATTTTCAGTATGTAAGTACCATTCCTTAATGCATTCAGCAGACACTTTCAGTTGGGTTTCACAGGGTTAGCACTGGATATCATCACATTTTGCTGGTGTAGAATCTTGGCCAATAATTCAGGCCAATAATTCATAACCCCTTGAAGCTGCTGTCATTTTCACTATACTTTTTTATTTTCACCATGCTGTTTACTTACTTTCTACACTGTGGAATTGCCAACTATACCTCATCTTATTGTTGTAAAACAAGGAAAGAGAGTGTCACATGTTAAGCAGACTTTTTTTTTTTTTTGCCAGATAATCTTCCCATATCTCTCGATAATGAAAGAAAAGACAAGAGGAACCCTAGGTACTCCTTAAACTGCTAAAATGAGTAATGGGTCAGTTAGTGCTATCTCTGAGACTCTCAAAGTAGTATTCAATAGTAAGCAGTCCAGCTAAAACAGCATTTTACTTGTACATAGTCTTCAAGACAAATATATGACTAAGTATTTGCACTGTGATTTGTGCACTATAAATTCTTATGGCAATAAAATACAGTTATACCTTTGTATAATTTTTCAGCATACAGAAGTCTCATCATAATTTCTAGGATACATAATTGCTGTCACAGCTCAACCAAAAGTATTTGTCTGTGTCAGATAACCTTCTGGCCAGGGATGAAGTACCAACCCAGGCCTATCCTCTAATCCCAACCCTGGACTGCCAGTACTGTCCATAGGGCTGGTACTGGACCCCACCTCTAGGGCTCTCATCTCCAGATACCCTGGGGCAGGGGAAGAAAGGAATCTGCCCGAGTGCCCTGAGGACAAGGAAAAGACAAGCAGAAGAATCAGAAAAGGAGACTGGTGACCTGGCACAGGGAAAGGAAAGGGAAAACTGACTGAGAGTTCTGAAATGAACTGTAGAGGTGATTGCTGGTGAGAGATACCATGGCTTTGACAAGAGGAATAAATGTCTGGACCCAGAGGAATTTGTAGAGGTAATTGGAGAAAGAGTGTTTGACAAAGGGAGAGAAATCTGAGGGTGGCAAAACACTGAAACAAGTTGGCCAGAGAGGTGGTAGATGGCCCATCCCTGGAAGGATGGTTCAAGGTCAGGTTGGACAAGGCCCTGAGCAACCTGTTTGAGTGGACCATGTCCCTGCTCATTGCAGGGGGTTGGACTAAATGACTGTTAAAGGTCCTTTCCAACCCAAACTAATCTATGATCCTATGAATTCTAAAATTGGAGGATGAGCAATGGAACTAGGAGAAGTCAGAGAAGGAGGCAAAGAATCATTGATCCCTATCAGAGATAGGTGAAGTTAGGAGATACCTCTGGCAAGAAACAAGGCTTCAAGAGAGATCTGGGGTAAGCTGAGTGGGAAACCAGAGAGGAGGACAAAGCAATAGGTTGACCAGGGTAAGGACCTGGAGTTGTCAGTTTGAGTACGGGGGCAATGAAATGGTTAAAAGTTGTTAACAAAACAGGTGGACAAGCTCCAAAATTCTGCAGTGCAATCCCAAAGTGAGTGGGTCCCACAAATATTCTGATTGACAGAGACATTGCTGCATACACTCCAGAGAAAATTATCACACCAGCTCCAAGCCTTACAAACACAGAGCAGATTAAGTAGTTGAGTTTGACAACAGACTTTCCTCACATGGAGTGATCTACAAATGAATTATGAAGAAGGATGAGATGGAGTAAGACACAATGGATTTGAAATGACAAAGCTAAATTATTTGAAAAGGTGCAGAACAGATGTAACAGATACAGCCCTTGGTAAATGAAGAAAGAATAAGCTGTACATTATGATTACAGGCTGTAGGTACAAAAGCACTACTTCTGACATTTCAAACCAGCGTTGGTACTTAACATCAGCCATCATTCCATCCTTTCCCCAAAATGCTTCATGCCTTTTTATCTCCAGATTGATAGAACCTATTAATAAGCAACCAACCAGGGCTTTCTATACCTTTGCAGTATATCATCTAGAAGAAAAGAGAAAATCCAACAGTTTCTTCAAATCCAAAGCAACAAAACCCCAAAGCTGATGTGTATTTCCATTCACCTTATTAAGCAGTTCACAAAAATAATTTTCCATACTTATCAGCAAGTGATGCTTAAAGAAACAAATGGTGTTTTCCTTCTGAGTCAATTTTTTTGTTGTTGTTTGGTTTTGGTTTTTTTTTCTTTTTTTCAGGGGGAAAGAAAGCTGCCTTTAGAGCTTGACTATGTGGCAGAACTGAATTTTCCATTTCCTTGGAAATCCTAAACCAGTGCCTTTCTACTCCCAACTCTTCAATTTCCAATATATATTCCTCAAAAATATGTTGGAGAATTGTATTAATTCTTGCTTTTTCATTTGTTACAGTAATGTGCCCAGAGATTTAGGTTGCTGTTAAATGACAAGGTCATATCAAAGTACATAGAAGTGATGCATTTCTTACAGAAGCTATTGGGGTTTTTTGGGATCTATACTAGGGACCTCAAATGGCACAGCAGGTCATCTGGGAGGGGCTGTGGAAGGAAGGCAGAGTTGGAATTGTAACAGCTGCCTGCAGGAAACAAGGGAAGTGGAATCTATCCAAACTGCTATAGGCACATTGAATTATGAGCATGGTGAAAGGTCTTCCAGCTCTACAAGGAGAGAGCAAAAAGTGAGTAATCTGATAGCAAAATCAGAAAAAATAATTTGTCACTGGCTCACAAAGCTGTTGCACATCAAAATAGAATTTGCAGAGATACAGTGGAGCAACTAAGTCTCATTTCTTTTTCCCAAATAAAAAGATCACAGAAATCCCATTTCAAGCATTATGTGCAAACAGTGTGCAGAATCCATAGTCATTTGCTCTTCGTTAGGAGATCTACTTACAAAGATACTGCAATGACAGAAAATACACTAATTTCATTGCGCCTTTTTCAACTCCATGGGTCTTGAAACTTGTTTGTAGTACTGGTAAAGGCATTTTTTCTATTAATTTCCTATGTTAATTGCACTATTTTGCATTCTTTCTCCTTGTTACAGGACCTGCATGTTTTCCTGACAGTCTTAAGATTGATCAGTTGATAAGGATAAGAAAATCATGGCTCTAATCAAAAATCATGGTTTTAACCTTTCCCAGAAGGATATTGGGCTTTGTATCAAGAAGCTGTAATACTCTTCTGCAGCTCACAATAACTACTGGTATGATTCTCACATCTTTTCCATCAATGGGAGAATACAATTTGTTTCTGCTTTTCCCTTTACAATCTATGTACTAATAAAATCTAGTTAAAGTCAAGATACAGGCAAAAAAAAAAAAAAAGATAGTTCTGTTATTTCTATTCTTATAGCAAAAAAATCAGCTTTCCACTAGCTGAATACCCTCCAACCCTCTAATTTGTCTGGTTTCTTATTGCTACAATGTTTTGTGGTTAATTACACATTCTTCTTTATTGGTGGCTGTGATTAGACTAGCTGTTGCCACCCTTGCATTCCATGCTGAGAGGCACACAATAACACTCCATATCTATAAAACTAAATTATTTCTTTATGAAAAGCATCCATTGAAGAGATTCTGCAGGTACAGCCAGTATTTAGATGCAAACATGCAAACAGTTTAATTTCTAGGTATTGAGAGTAATCTCATTCTGCCTCAAATTCTTTTCTTTCCCTTCTGGTTATGTGGAGCTTTTCTTACTCACAGAAGCCTTGCCAAACTCCAAGCCATAACAGAGATGAGCTCAATGAACTTTAACAATTTTATTCAGACTTCTGACATCTGCACATTCTTTCTAAAGCAGCATCTGTCTTGGCAGCTCCCAGTAGAAAAGCTTGCCTTGGAGACAGGCCATCACCAGCCTTGTCCCTCCCTCAGTCTGATCTCAAATGTTTTCTTCCAAAGTGCTGGTGATTCAAAGATCTCAGTTCAGCATGGCTGCTCTGGATCACATTTAATAGAATCATAGAATCACAGAATATGCTGAGTTAGAAGAGATCCACAAGAATCACTGAAGTCCAGCTCCTGGACCTGAACAGGACAGCACCAAGAGTCACACCATGTGCCTGAGAGCAGTGTCTAAATGCTCCTTGAACTGCATCAGGCTTGGTGCTATGACCACTTCCATGGGGAGCCTGTTCCAGTGACCAACCACCCTCTGGGTGAAGAACTTTTTCCTAATATGTAATCTAAATGTTCCATGAGACATGTTGATGCTGTTCCCTTGGCTCCTGTCACTGGGTACCCCAGAGAAGAGATCAGTGCCTGCCCTCCTCTTCCCCTCATGAGGAAGTTGCAGACTGCAATGAGGTCTCCCCTCAGTCTCCTCTTCTCCAGGCTGAACAGACCAAGGGACCTCAGCTACTTCTTATGCAGCTTTTCCTCTTGCCCCTCACCATCCTTGTGTCTCTCCTCCAAACACTCTATGTACTATGCTAACAAATGCAGCTACATTTAAAAAGAAGCACTGTGCCACTTCAATCCACACCATCCATACCTGTGTGGAACAGTCTTTGCATTTACACCACTTACAGTGTCGCCGTAAACCTACTAAGCATTGTCATCAAGGATGCTACTTAGCTGAAGTAGAGATTGGTGCTCACATAAAATAGCTAGAGTGGCAGGCCTTGCTATTCTTTCTTATTATTCTGGAAAAATCATGAACTGTATGTTTATCACTTCATCTACTCCTGAAATGGAGCAACACTTTAATGAACATGTTGCATGAAATGAGTTCCAGTTGAAACTGAAGAAGGCTGCTCATTGAGACTGAAATGGCAAAGGGAATTCAAGTCAGATGCTTAATTATCCGAACTGGAGTTTGACCAAGATTCTGCTATTCTTGTGATATGTGTCATGGGATAGCTCGTGATCAAAAGCTGCTGTAACCTTCACTTGAATTTGGAGCTTCCTTCTTTATACTTCATGTCCACCAGGTGCCAGGAAGGTACAGCAGCTCTGTTCTTCCCCAAAGCAAAAGCTGCTGTCTAGTGAAGCACCACAAGTTACTTCAGATCTTTACCTGCTTTTCTTCAATGTATCTTATCCAGGTATGGACTGAGCCGGATATTGTTTGGTTTCATGGCCAAGACTCAGAGAAGCTTCTGGCTAAAAAGTAAGTCCACTGGAAACTGAAAAAACCCCCTCAAAAGTGTAGGACAATATTTTCCTCATTCCCCTCAAACTGCCCCTCAGAACTAAAAATCAGAGATCAAATTAAAAATGTATATGATACCAACATTTAGAATTGTCAAACAAATTTAAAACTACCTAATTTTCTCCGTAATATTAATTCATTCAATAATAGAAAATAAAGTAAAAAGAAAGTAATTAAAAGTTTATTCAAATATCATTTGACTGACATTAATAAACAAATGGAATGATTTTACAGAAGAAAGAGATCTACACATTTAGATATGATATAGATATTTAATAATAATATAATACTTATTGGGTAGCAATCTCTGACAAATAACAAAGGCAAGAATCTTGAGTATATGTAATGTGATTAAGAGGAGATTAATATATTAAATAAAGATCTTTGAAAGCAGCTGGTGTCTTAAAGACAACCAAGAAAGTGCTTAACAGTTATGGTAATACATAGAGATGGAGCTGGAATGTAAAGGAATTTAAAACCCATAAACAATTTTTCTGCCAATAGGGATTATATTTAAGAAGCAGTGTGAACTGTTTCTTAATTGAGACTGAAAATTCTTCCATTATTCTAAAAATAAGGTTAACTGGAAATAGCACCAATGCTGTAAAAGAAATGACAGATGTGCAATCAGGAAAAGATGATAACATGAATAAGCTTTACAAGAACTTCAATTCCAGTTACAAATAAGAGAAGACGCCTCTCTTTGTGTAAATGAAGACTTCTTTACCATTATAATTTCTGTCATAATCTACTGCAGTAAAATTAATGCAGTCCAGGAAATTGCAGCTTTGTAACAGCAGCAGCCCTACATACATTTGCATGAGTACTCTGTAGTGACAGGAATAGAATATATGGCATAAAAAGTTACTAAAAATAGACTTGTCTAGTCACTGGCCAAATGCTCCCGTTGCTTTTGGGAACAGAGGGTGTCGACAGGAGAGGCTGTCAGTGCAGCCAGCCTGACCCTTCTCACAGCTCTGGTGTGCTGCTCTCCTGTCTCCACAGCCCTGCAGGTGGGAAGGAGTGAGTTGGAGGAACAATCACTTTCTGCAACATTAGGTGCTGTGAGCCTCCCAAGTGATCCCTGAATAACACAATGTTCCTTGTCTGTGTGTCGCCAGTGGGAGGGTGACTTATCACACAACTGCAACGGGATGAGCAGTGTTGATGGGACTAAAGGTAAAATTCTTCCGCAGATAGGAGCTTCATAATTAATTCCTGTGCTCTGTAGATCTGCTGTCTAATTTCTGCAGAGAAAAAAGCCCTTTTCCAAGTAAAAATATATATGGAATTGTACGACGTTCCCATTTTCATGGTGCTTGTACAGTCTTTCATGTGAATAAACTACAGACATGTACATTAAAAGAAAATAAAGAAAAGAAAAGAAAAGAAAGTTAAACATTTCAGCATACTAACAGTTCCAGAGATTATCACATTGTTGTGCATATCAATGCCATGTCCCAACCCCATCTGGAGTTGGAAGCCTTCACTAGGTTGTAGCATGGTACAAAGGACAGAACTGAGAAGTACTTTCAAAAGCCTTGCCTATCTTTCAAAATATGCTCTGAAATACTGTTCTGGATGCTGTATCACAGTTATTATTTTGGTTTACATCGCATTACCTTGCCTGAAACCACATATTCAAATCTATAGTTATTTATTTTTATAACTGGTACAGGATTATTATATCCTGCATCTCAGGCTATACACAGAAATGTAATTACATTTCTCAGACTATGCACAGTATGAAATTTTATCTTGTCATAGACTTGATCCTGCAGCACAGGATAGCTTTGTGAATGGAAATCTTGACAGAATTTTGTGTGCATTGTATATGCTGCTCCTCTGCACCTCTCTGTATTACAGTTTTAAAAATAATACTACAGTTTTAAAAAACTGTAATATTATTATACTTCAATAATAATTAAATATAATAATATTACAGCTTTAAAAAAGAAAAATAAGCCAGGTCTTGTGTTAGCTTACTATGCCTCTCCCAATGTAATGAATCTGGGAAAATGTAAAATAAGCTATTTTCCTGCTATTTTTATTCCATATACTTGCCATGAGGAAGAAACATGGTATAGCAACACAGTCCCTTGACCATATTCCAGTTCTTACACTGTGAGTGAGAAGTTATGGGAATTTGCATAACCTGTATTAAGTCTGAATTTTTATTTTTATCTTTTTTGTCTTTTAAGCGATCAGGGTATTTCTCTGTGTCTTTGAACAGCTTCTATCGCAGTGGGTTTAGGCTTGCAGACTCTAAGCATTATTATGAAACTAAAAATAACAGACAGATAAAAAATTATTATTGGAGGTTATTTGTTCTTAAACGTAACACAGAAAATTACAATGGTACCTGAAAAAGTCTGCACAATACAGATTCCCTGAGATATATTTTCACACTTCCTACTTAGTAAAGAGACAAGATTAACAAAGAGTTGTAGTTGTTTATAATATTGATACACAAATACTTCTGCTCTCGACAATGAGCTTCGACATTTTCAGTGGTTGCTCTTATGCAAAAGTTAAGATTCTTTTATCTAGGGAAAATTTTAAAAACTCTATGAGAATGATGATTTTAGAATGAAGAAAAATTAAACTTGATCTTTAATTAAACTTGAGCTAAAGCTTCTCAAAATGTCTCTCTAAGCATGGGACATTAATAAGAATATAGGAAGAAAATATGTTTTACCCTTTTCATTTTATCTCTGCCAAATGTAAGCCTTGTCAGTAACCAATGTGCTGCCTTGCTCAGCCCTCATTTATTGGGTACAGAAGTTTATATGAAACAACAGGACTGGGGCAGGACAGAGGTACATGTGTGATTCCGCTCTGTGACACAGGTGAAGACACCTTGAGGAACCTTCTGTAGGGCTGCTTTCAGAGGTGCAGTTGGCTCATCTGCCTGGGTCACGTTCAAAGCTGCATAGTAGTGTGTTTTCAGTAGGAGGCATTTCCCATGGAGGCACGTGCTTGGGTTTGTAGTCTGTATCATTCAGCCTTCAGTGCTGGCAACCCATGAGATGCCTTGGCAGCACAACCAGGTCCCACAGCGAAGGCTGGGGCATGTGCAGGCTGTGCCGGGACTCGCCAGTCGAAGAAGCTCAGGGGCAAGTAGTGCAGAAAAGCACCTGTGCTTGTGCTACAACACTGAATTCGAGTCATGATGTGTCTCTGGGTGGCTCAGGCACAAGCAGAGCTTCTCAGAGCAGAGCATCCCACCCACCAGAGACGGTAGGATTTTCATAGATGGAAAACTGCACAGCAGTTTAATTAAACATGTAAGCATGGCAGTTGTATCCAGAGGAAGAAGCGCAGGAAGAAAGCAGCAAGTTCTCAGTGCCTAAGCTGTCTGCAGCCTGGCATTATCTGATGCTTGAATTCTTCCTTTAGAGCCTAACTAGCATCCGGGGAAGGCTTGTTACCAGCCAAGTGCATCCCCTAGTTTCCTGGTACACATTTAGGCACCATCTAGCTTCCCATTGATAGAGCAGGCAATGCAAGCAGGTCTACACATCAGGGTGCAACATTTGAGTTGGAGTTGGTCCTGTAGACCTTTAACTACCTTTAACTACATGGACATGAAATACTGAACAGCAGAGGCAGGTGACTGAACTATTACCTAATTTCTGCTATTGAGACTACAGTAGCTCAGGTGACTATGGTTTTAAGAGTTCTGAAAAGTCAAGTCAAGGAGCTATAGGAATGCTGGTTTTGCTTTTTTTTAAATCCTAAATGGGTCCTTATTTAGATGACAGTCATACTTCCAAGAATAGGTCAGCATGCTGGGATGCTTAATAATTCTCAGCTGTATGTGCAGGCTTGAGCAGTCTGTCAGACTGAGTTGTGGCATAGCTTTCCCTGCAGGTCCCTGGGAGGGAGTTTGAAGTTTATAAGTCAGAAGAGCAGTTCAGAGGAGAAGAAGGTCCCACAGAGGCAATTTGCTGTAATTGCTGCAGGATGGACCAGGCACTGGTGGAACTCAGTGCAGCCTAGTTGGCAGCTTTAAGTGTATGAAATCTTTTCTGTCTTTTCCCATAGAAAGAAAAAGAGTAAAGAATCTGGTTGCTACTGCCAGTTCCTGCAATAGGACTCCAAAAGAAAGCCTTCACCTCTGTTCTTGTTGAAAACTGGGCATGTGATAGCAAAATCATGTGCTAAAGACACAACCTGACTGGTGATTTTTATGATCTACATTTGACCTGACAAAGTTGGTCTCATGGTACCTGATCAAGAAAGAGTTTGGGGGCACAAAACACTTTCAGCCTTTGAAATCCTCACAAAAAAAGCTGTTAAGCATTGATTTGAGCTTGAGAGTTATTTTGGAGCTGACTGATCACTGAAAGTTCAATATAATTAATACTAAAAAAGGCATCTTGCAAGTTAGTTACCACATTTTCTGATAGAAAAGTGGTTTGCCATAGCATTACTGCATTTCATGCGTGATGAAGACAGCTGGAATAACACAACCAGCTGCCTTGTAGCATGTTGTCCCTTACATCAGAGCTTACTCATATTCAGAATTTATCTCTGCAGGATAATAATGTTCAAAACCACAATTTTGCACCAAATGATTAGTTAATTAATTCCATATTACAGTTATTAAAGTAATAATGATTTATATCTTCGAAAAATAAACCATATCAGCCCTCATTTAATTTAATGTTTTGATTATTTCTCATAGACTCTCATATACATTAATCTGTTTTTGTACAACAGTTTCATTTTCTAGATTCAAATATGAAAAAAGGTCCTGTACAAAATTTTACACACCATGCAAGAAATCCTATTTTATTTTATAAATTGTATTATTATAGAAGGAATATGGCCAGCTTGTGAACTCCCAGGCCATGATCTCACCTTTACCCAAAAACATCTGCCTTCCATGCGACTCGTTCAGGGAGCGCTTTGGTTCTGATCGCACCGCACGGGTGCCGGGGCCGCCTGGCAGCCTGACCGACGGACAGCAGGACAGGGCACAAGGGGGGACAAACATCAGTTTTATCTCAGTATGGTCTGAAAAATTAATCAGGGGGGGCTATTTTCCCTCTTTGCCAGAGACTTCCAGATGGTGCCCGAGCGGCAGAAGGAAATTTAGTCCTTCCGTCCTGAGAGCTCAATGGCACCAGGGGACAGACATCCCCGCTGAGCAGCAGATTTGATAACGCGTCGATTTATCTCCTCACGTTTAGAGCTGTTTCCACCGCTGTCACCTCGGAGAGTTCCTCCTCCATCCGTCTGCATCGCCAGAGCCCTGGAAAAGGCGACTGCTCCCAGCTAAATCGACTATAGCACTTCCCTGGTAGTCATGTCAACATCCAAACACAGAGCTTAAAACAACCTTAACAAAACAAACAAACAAACAAAACTAGAAAAAACCCACACGTCTCAACAAATGCACTCTTTTTCGGGAAAAATTTATTTACGACAGAAGGCAGTTATGTTTGTCTAGACACCGCCCCCGGCCTGCCCCGCTCATTACCCCGTGCCGGGGGCCGGCCGTCCCTCCTCCCCGCCCCGCCGTCCCTCCTCCCCGCCCCGCTCTCATTCATTCCCAGCCCCTTCCTCTGCGCTCCTTCCCCTTCCCCGGCGCCGCCGGCCCGGCCGCCTCCCCGCCCCGCGCCCGGCAGCGGGCAGGGCCCTCCGCGCCGCAGCCATGGCCGCCGAGGGGGTGGACGAGCGCTCCCCGCTGCTCTCCGCGCCCGGTTCCGGCAATGTCACCCCGACCGCGCCGCCCTATCTGCCGGACAGCAGTCCCCGAGGTAAGGCGCTGTGCGGGGCGGGGGGCGGCCCTGGCTCTGTGGCTGTGGCTGTGTGTGGCTGGGGACGCGGCGCCTCCGCCCGGGTGCGGCGGTGAGGGGCTCCCCCCACCCTGGCCGCGGCGGCGGGGCCGGGGGCTGCCGGCGGGGGAGCCCCCGCCCCGCCCTGGCCGGTGGGGAACAACAGGTAACGCCGCTCCGTGCCCGGCACAGGCCCTGCTCCCCGCAGCGCTCCGGCCTGGGCGGCTCAGCAGAAAAAATAAAAGAAATTAAAATAATTGTTTGCAGGGGCAGAACAAGCCCCAACCGGTCTGCTTATTATAACTCGCTCGCATGCCGCAGCTTGCGTGGTAATTGTTGGACTTGGGTTTCCCCATTAATTAGGAGCAGGATTAAGTGGAAGATCCGGAGCTG